AGAGAAATCGGTGAGCGTAGTTGAAATACCACTGAGTAATCTTAAGCGCCAGCTAGTTCGTAACCGCCTATATGACCGTCTATGTGCAACTCAAAATTGCATAATTTGCCCCAGTGGTAGAGACGGTGATTGCATGAGCTCGCGTATAGTTTATCTGATCCGCTGTAAGACGTGTGGTGACGAATACATTGGCGAAACGGGTAGACCCCTCTGTGTTCGCATGAAAGAACATCTAGCCGGCAAAAATAGACCAAATACCCCGCTAGGCACGCATAGGACCCAGAGACATAACGGGGACGACTTCGAAGTATGTGTCACGATCCTCGCACGCGAATCACGAACACAGGCGCGAAAAACTCTCGAGGCACTCTGGATTAATTCCAGAAATCCGAAAATGAGCCGCAGGGAAGAATGCCTCATTATCACGCGTGATATAGGGCAGTATATAAAACTGCTTTTCTGATGTGAGGGGCACATTATACTTCCACGTGATTTCTGTGCGGTTGGTCTCTACGTGACATACTTAGTGGAAACCTCATAGAAAGCGGTGAGTGTGCAAAGCTGTGTTCAAAGTGATTGAAATCTTGGTTTGGAGTTTCTTTGTTTGGTTATGGAGGCGTCTGGCCGAGTGAGTTGCTATCAACTTGACCTTTCCAGGCTCTGAGGAAGGCGAAATTCGCCGAAACGTCAGCTTACTCGTGAATAAAGAACAATAACACCTCGCGTTTGCTCAACAAAAATACGAAGAAATTATCGTGCTTTCGAAAACCCGGTTTCATTGCGAATATGTCGAAAAAATAGTTGAAGAACATTTATGACAATGTAAACCCTTTACTTGTTGCCTACTATAATTTTTCACGGGAGTGTATGATGTGAAGTACAACCACAACGGTGCTGAGATATTCGCAAGACTTGGACCTCGGGCCAAATCGAACCACGATTACCCTTTCCAGGGGCTAGCGTATTACACACTGCACCACTGAGGCCTTTGCTCTGCGTCTCTCTCAGATTGTTTTTTACCTAACGATACCTATTTATGGATGTATTATCTATGTTAGGATATTGGTCACGAATGAATCCGAGTACTCCGTAACTGATTGACCATGAAGCCACGGCGTCTTCTCTAGAAAGCTCTTTTAACAAAACAGGAGACTGAACAGTGACAGCAGCACAATACATCTCATTTTAAAAGACATATTTTTTCGCCTTGTACCATTTGATTCGGAAACTAATGTCAGATTCGCAATTTACTTTTTGTATATGTTTTAGTGATTTCTTCATTTAAAACGCTTCACTGTTGCGAACTTAATTTTAATGCGAGTCGAATTTTTGGCAGTTCTAAAGATTAGGGATTCAGGTGGCAAAACACCAATTTCGAAGGATCTACTTCTATCAATTCGAACTCGCAGTACGCAGCGCAAACAGCCCGAAACATTGATGACGTCGGACCACCTAACGACGATTTAAAAGTCGGGAAAAGCTCAATAATTGGAAGCCCAAAGAATTAGCAATATGACACATTACCGACGCTGGAAGAGTTGAACGAGCTAGACTACGAAACCTTGCCTCATCGACAATAATGGCCAGACTTTTGGAATACCGATTACGACTCCTTCAAGCATCTTGACAACTTCTGCAAGAAATGCTTTAGAAACTAAGCTGAGGCCGAAATCGTCTCCAATGATTGACATCATCGCCTCCAGAAATCCAGAATTTCTTGCAACTTGTGTGAATAAACTTGTTTCTACTAGGCGAAAATGAGTATATTCTAATGACTTTATATCGATCAATAAAGGATATGTTGAATTAAGATGTGCTATTTAAAAGATACTGGTTGGAATCCACCATTAATTTCCGAATAACCTGACCTACCATATGTGTTACTTTTGATGGCAGAAGGGGGAGAAGCACAACCGTTTCATGGTTGCTTGGAAGGTGTGAGTTGGATTTCACGTTTAAAACATGTAGAAATGTTTCACATGGAGTTGAAAAATAACCAGGAAGTAAACGAGACTAAAGGTAGAAAGTGGTAGCTGCGGAAGAATTTAACGGTTCGCAATACTCTCAGCCGACTACCACCCACATCCACTACCCTACCAGTTTTTGTAATCGAGTTCATTATCTCTCTAAAAGATTTATTGCCAAGGTATCGATACAAACTGTTTCGGGCAACTGCTCTAAGTGGTTATTAGCATAATTAGTTACTACCGCGATGTACGGATTTCCTGTGAGCAGTCCAAATGCAAGCCATTGCACAATGAGTAGGAACATAGCATACTGAAACACCGCTGGCAGATACTCTGTGTGTCCAAAGGAAATAGCTCGCTTCTAAAATGGAAAACGCTGATTCTGGAAGAAAATCCAAAAGAAAAAATCGACGCCGTTTTCCACTTACAATCTCATAGACTCCTCCAGCGAGGGAAGCGATCTGTGTGGCGGATGCTATCGATCCCATCACGTCTGAGGCTACTTCACTACCTGTATTGGAACGATTATGAAGACCAACTTCATCTTAGTAGCTGTATGCCTTCAGTCTGAACGCGATAACTCACTTTGCATTTCAACATATATGAAGATCAGTTTTAGCACTAGTCCACATATTAATAGCTGACTGTAAAGGTACTTCTGAAACGCTATGTTGTCAATCAGACACTTTTGTAACTTTATTGCGATTTGTTTATGTAAGATCATTGGAAATACTATCATACTTTCTAGGTCTTGAAAATTCCTGGCATTTACGTTCCCACGAAACGGAATGAATGTTCAATCTCAAAGACTTTGATAGCTCAGATTTCTCCGCAATTTTCAACTAGAGAACTATGCTTAAAGTCAAGTGACATAGTCGAACCCTCTTCGGTTGATAATAGGCGAAAAGGGCGATGTAGAGTATGAAGAAGACTATGTTGATCGTATTGATAGTGATGTTGGTGTTGTCGTTCGTCATGTAGCCGTGCTTTAACCAGCAAGAAGTCCTGTAATGTCCGTATACGTTTGAATGGAGTCAACGATATCATAGCCACTCAGAATCTGCAATGTTAGGTTCTTTTTCTTCCTAACTATTCAAAATTCTTCCTCAACTACTATCAAGAACGAAAACCTCACTTCCTTTACATATCATCATGTTTCTCACAAAAAATTGTTGTGCTGTGCAAAACAAGCAAAAGTAAAAGTCGTCGAAGCATCTTTCAAAGTTCGTTGTGAATTTGCTCATCACTGATTTCAATCAGGTAGAACATTTGAACTTAAGGAAACCAAACTAGCGTTGCCAACCAAGGTGCGGAGTAATCGTGATTGTTTGGAGAATCACAAAACTATAGGTTTATGTCTACTGTCTATTCCAATTCTTCCACAGTCCTACTAGTAATTATTTTCAGTAGAAATAATAAAAGGAAATTCCAGCACGAATTTAATCTCGAACTCTAAAAAAAACTCGCGAAAGCTTTGAAGCTTTTTTCTAACTGCCCATTGTAGTGCCCTTCCCGTAGTTTTCAATCTCGAGAAACTGTATAAAGCGACTTTGATAGGGAAACTAAAACTACGACACTTTAGACCGCTGCGAGAACTCCTGAGATTCATGTCAGAACGCCACCTAAGAGTTTGTTCGTGGAAAAATCGTTTGCTACCACTCTTTTCAACAGACCCATCATGTCCATTACTCCACCCCACTGGAATTAAAAGGATTTCTTCAATTTAAACCATGTTTTATGGACACACCAAGTGGAGCGGTTAAAGATGATATGTACACTTGTTCGCTAGTTCGATCCTGCACAAAGTCAATCATAGCCCCTCCACATTTGACACGTTGCTACTAGACTTGTCTGTTACTATCTGATCGAGAAAGGGTAATGACTGCCTGTGGTGAAATTCCGGGAACACCGTAGTAGGGCTATCCAGAGCAGACAGAGACTACTCAACCGACATTCAAAGAAATTCATTACGAAGACAAAGTCCTCAACTGGCAGACTGCACGCAAATCCTAATACTTTTGTGAACGAGGCAACGAAGTGGTTGGATACTCACAATATGTGAAGCTGAACAGTATGAGAAAAGGAAATAACATAAATCACCCTCAAATTCCTTTTTGGACAGGTCATTCTGTTTCTCGTCTTATCCTTCTAATGCATGTCTGCTTTTTTCGATTGGCTTTCGTTTCGCTTCGTTATCGCTTTTTATTTGGTCTCCTCACAGCGAAAAAGTCCATGCGTCACACCATTCAGAGGCATAAGGATAGGGGATAAAGTTCTCCGCGCTTATCAATTCCTAAAGGATGGTCCATACGCTCGACCCTCCGACCCGATCTCTCATGTTCGATTCTCGATTATAACTCGGCGTTGCGATTCTTTGGATTTTCTTGACAAAGTGTAATGATACGCCATACGGTGCAGATGTTCAATGGGAATGGCGTGGTGTTAGTCTACTCGCCTCGAACGCATCTCATTCCTATAATTATATCGTTTGCTTCTAAAAGTATCACATTACCAGTAGATTTCTATTTTTGTGAAAGAACGATCAATTTATACTCAGGAGAGCTCGTATCATTTAAATCAATCTGTTTAAAAGAAATCATGGTTTTCCAGTTGCCTAAGTTCTTAAGGAGTAAAACCACCCAGTTCGATACTCAGATAAGATGAGTAGGTGGAACTCATTCGAAACAAAGGTTAATCTCTGACCATGCTTTGAGGTCACTTCGGAATTTGCATAATTTATCTAGAACTCCTCAGGACTGTTGCTCGTTGATGTTTTTGCTCTTCTTATTATAATCGTGACTTTGATTTCGAAGTCATCACTGTGCCTTCTCCGTGCGCTGTAGCTTCCTAGAAGAGTACTTCGTCCTATTACAACTTTCCCAACAAAATGCTCCTTCTTTTGCTTCTACGAACACAAACTGCCTTAAATGTTTCGTCATCAGCACACTTCTTTCAAGACACCAGGTATACTGTACTACCTGAATCCATGTAGTCACCGTTTCCTTCGTTCAGGCGAATCATTGTATGCTAAATCGTTCAGTGCTATTACGTAATTCTCTAGACTAGCGTCCTTAGACTTAAGCTTAACCTTGAGTTGCTGTGTAGAGCAGGGAGAAGGCGAATTCGCCAAAGCGCTACCGAGAACTGAAAACTTTGTTAACAACCTGATGTTAGCTATCGGAAGAATGGAAATCCATGAGGAATCGATAATTTGGCTTAAATCTTCTTTCGAAATTCTAAAGTGGGTCTGAATTTTTGTACGGATACGGTCATCCCACCAATGTACGACGTTTTGTTGAAGCACCTCCAAGAAATCGCGTAGGCTATCCTCCTGCTATGCTTCGTAAACTAGAAGTTTTCGAATGGATACGGCCTTACACGGCTTCAATCCAACTATATTCACTTTTTAAAATTTTCTTCCGTTGTTTCACTCCTAAGATTAAACTGCTTAAACTACTGCAACCATGAAAAGAGAGCTTTTCTAGTCACTTTTTTTCAGAGTTCACTTTAATGTTTCATCCAGTGTCAACATGGGAAATCAAACAAAACATAAGGACGAAAGAGCGAAAAGAGTGAAAGCTGTAGATAAGATAGTTTATGAAAAAAGCTTACATAAGCATTGGTAAGACAAAATTAACAGAGGAGAAACCGTCAGCAGTGCCTCGTCGACGCCATTCGAGTACCATTGTACTGTAAGGATCGTTACGCAATAACATTCAAGAAAAAAAATCAGCTCAGTGGTTGCTACTGAAACTCACAACGGCATCAGAGTGAAGAAAATCGAGAATATTCCTAGCCATACAGTGAATATAGTAAATGCTGTTATCTCCATTTTTCTGGATCTGAAAACAAGCTTGAAAGGTTCTCTGCATTGACAATTTACAGCCAAGAGATCGCAACAAGGAGATGTAAACGTGCCAAATTGTCTTTCATTCAATGATTACTCATGCATTTATACTATACCGAAGAGCTCCAGTGATAAACGGTTGCTGGACGGTTTTTGCTTTTATCAAAGGCGTTATAAGCAAACTTGCTACTCAACGAGAAACTCTGAACGTGGTTGAAAATGGACTATTCATCCGCGTTGAGAAAGATCGTTCATCTTCTTAGAAATATTTGCTGCCATCAAATTTATTTACCAATGACCAGATAGAGGTACAAGATGGGTTTATAAACAATGGGTAGTTCGTGACATTCATTGTGTTACAAAAAATGTTTTCTAAGTTGAAGACACCTGAGAGCGAAATCAAATTGAGCAACCCATGTGGACGAAATCGCTACAGAATGTCGGCACACCACAACATGAAAGAAGAGTGTAAAGTGTTTATAGGGCGTACTTTTTGGACTTAACTAAGCTCCGACGAAAACATATGGTACAGCAAAAGCCTGTTCTTTCCCAGTAACATCTTTTAATTTGGACCAGACCAGAGTAGAGAGGACGGCCAGAGTTCCCATTAGCGAGAGGTCGCCACAATGAACTTGCCAACTGATTAACAGCACTCAGTTGAATGTGCTATTGTGACAGTAATTCAAGAAACAGAGTTTTAGTTTTACTTTTCGAAAATTCAATTTCTTAAAACGTCTTCGATAGATTGGTCCACTTTTTATTTCTCTTCTTCCAATCAGAGTAATACCTACTCCTTAATAAAATTGCCTTAAAGTTATCGCAGTAATTTCTACAGCCATGAAGGAAAAAGTAAAAATAATCATAAATTGTTTCTTTTTTCGTTCAGAAGTCTCCCTTTGCGCACTTATGGAAATGTCCTAAACGAATTTCTTAGGTATTTGAAGCGTTTTAAACTGGGTTCAACAAAGCGATGGCTATTATGGCTTCCCACTTTAATTAATATTTTCTGAATTAATAGTAGCATTAGGCGCATGGCTGGAACAAGAAGGAACTCAGTTAAAGAGAAAGCACATGGCGAAATGGGACACCAAACTCAATGGTTGTTTGGTTACAGGGAATACAAACTAGAAGTAGCTGGGGTGTACAATGGCTGCTGAAGAAGGCAAACAGTATGGTTAGATGAAAAGGGCACTGGCTAGTGAGATTCTCATTCGATCGGTCAATCCGATCAATCCACTCCAGAAGACTAGAGTCGACTCGAAAATGAAGAAACAAATTAGAAATTCAAGCGGCTGTGGACAATGGACTCGGATCAATCGGTTCTGAAGAAGATGAAGCCATCAAAAAGTCAGCCGATTAAAAATTTTACAACCTCGTGCAAGCTGAACAATTGAACCTCTCAAAAACCTTTCAATCAAAAGGCATTCTCGAAACACCACGCTCATATTTCTGACTTAACGATCTTCCCAAAAGTTTAGAAATGGGTTGATATTTAAACCGCATAAGAAATCGGTTCCATAAAGTGCGCGAATAACGAGCTCTGAAACATAACAGCCACCCACAAGATCTAACTGGACCAGACGGCGTAGCTTTTCGAAGACTATTTCATCTTCGAGATCCAGGAAAACATAATTCTATAGCAACATATCAAAAATAGGTCTAATAGGCCAGTAGAGTTAGTGACAAATGAGAAGAGACTTCAGGTTGATGCAAGCGTTCTGTGCGACTGTGAAAATTGATGGGCGTATTAATCACTCATGTCAGAGGTATTCGAAGTAAAATCGAATTGGGGTCACAGACTTCCACTAGCGGACGTCACCATTCTTGAAACAGACCATTGCCATGAATGGCGAGGATGGGTCATATAAGTGTCTAAATAAGTAAGTTTCACCTTTTGGATTGGTAGTGGTAAACAAAATGTTTGAAAACTTATGAAAGCCTTCCAGAATTTTCAGATATCAGCAAAATTGGGAAACGTTCCAAGAGACGTCAAGCACATTGCAATTTCAAAGTAATATGACTATAATTTTAATGTGGGTTAAGAAACTGAAGAAACTGATGTAAACGACCGAGGCTTTCGCAATTTGTCATGAAAATCTTTTAGAACCATAATTATAAAGTTTGTCTTTCTAAGGGAAACAGTTGAAATTAGAGAATTTTACTAAGAATCATCTAATGGTCGAAAAATCGCAAAATTTTCCTGACTGTTGGGTATGACCACGGTTGTCTTCTGCAGCATGGGCACTGCGTTTATCACAAGGAGAAGTTTCACCTTCTAAACAGTTATTGGAACGCCACAGCACTACTATCTCAGCACTCCAGGAAGAATCGACTAGACCAGCATTCAACAACATTCGTGACGAAAGCAGAAAAATCTCCAAGCAGCAGCCTAAGGGACACGAAAAAAAGTTCGAATGTGTTGGTGAATGGTGGACGCGAAGAAAGGAATTGAAGGCAAGAATTGCTGGGACTCGCACAGTATAATACATGTAATATCGGGTCATGCAATAGTAATAAAAAATAGCTCTGCAATTATTGAAGAGGTAGAGCGATGATATTTCAAGAATAGAAGAAGGGATTACATTCAACGTTGACCAATGTATTGCACTTCATTACGCACCATAGATGTGAAAGCATGCGCATTTGGCGAAAACCGTCGCTTACGGAGGATTCAGTGAACGGTATTCCCTGGGCGAACTAACGACTCTGTGGGTATCATTGCACGGCACCCCCTAGGTACTGTGCTATACACACGCAAAGTGTTAAGGAAATAAACCAAATGAGTCGAATTCGAATGCGTCGTTTTCTTGTCCATCAATCGCGAGGTTGTTAAACAGCATACATTTACTTCCATAGAAAAACATAATACAATACAACACTAGCTGACGTTTCGGCGGTATCGCCTTCTTCAGAGCAAATATCAAATATTGAGAAGAATGCAACCGTTTTTTATTTAGTGCCTATTCTTTATTCAAGGCAAGCTATAATGTGAAATATAACCACAATGATGCTGAGATATTTGCAAATTCCCGTAGATGAGTGATTTCCGATAGCGCCTGTAGAACACGGCTGAGAGAAAGGCGAAACGAAGGACCCCCATGGTGTGGTGGTAAACTCGTTAGTCCCCGGAAAGTGTAGCATAGTGTTCCGTCACCACCGCAGACACCTGCGCGCCGGAGTTTTCCAGCATATCAGCATCACTGTGGTTGTACTGAAAACAGTGTTCGCAACGCAGTGTAGTAGTGCTTTACTTCACGACTATATGGCTACACGCTGGTTATCTTCGACTTCAAGAAAAAATCTCATCTTCTGTCTAGAACTGTGCTGTGTGTAAAATCTGCGATGCACTTGTGCGTAGTTCTACCACTTTCATTTAATCAGAGTGGAATTGTCTAAATTTTAAGTAGCTTCAAAATGAATGATGTAAGTATTAGAGCCGCCTTCAGAGCTTGATAACAAGCCGGTTTTACGCCGTTTTAGAGGCTTCAAAAGAATTTCGTGTGGAGAATATTTTTTAGAATTTATAGGACAATAAATTATTCGGAGCTGTCCCATCTTTTATTTACAAAAATCAATAGCTGATCATGCCAATGATCCACTAAAATCAAGGTTCACAGTAAACTTTAGGTAGGGAGGACGTCGAAAGCTTCTGGGATATTCTTTCAGTTAGTCGAATGAAGGTCTACATATATACAACACAGCCTTAGCTGACGTTTCGGCAGAATCGCCTTCTTCAGAGCCTGAATGGGTACACTAATGCGCAACTCGCCAGGTCAAACGCTTCAGCAGCACAAACAGAAAGATGAAAATGTGCACGATAATTACAAGATCTACAGCTTCTCGAAAAGCACCGCCTTTTTCACCTCTCTTCCACCGAGGAAGAACAGCCGCTCAGAATCGCATATGGTTGACGACTGCACCTGCCCACATCAACAATCGATACGAAGGTAAGCGGCGAGATCACATGTAATCTCGGGGCATTCCTCCCTACTATTCGCTGTAGGAATTTTGGCATTTATCCAAAAAGCCTCGAGGAGTTTTCGCTTTGGTGTTTTAGGGTTCCATGCAAGTATAGTTACTTTTAGGCAATTTATAAGGTCAAGCGCTTCAACAGCACAAATAGAAGGATGAAAATCTGAACGATAGTTAATATTAATATAATATAACTAATTAAATAATGTTAGTATAATGTAACTACTACGGATCTCCCTTATATGAGGGATCTCGAGCCGGTTAGTCGCGAGGCTACGTGGCGCGTCCCCAGGTGGCGGATAGGGGCTTAATCGCGGAACAAAAGCGACCTTTGCTTCCCTGAGACGCAAATAGATCCTGGGGACGTTTGTGCTCCCTGTTTCTGCTGCGCTGATTTGGCACATACTTTCTGTATTTGCTAGGCGTATTCATGCATGCATGTGTGGGTGCCTTCTTGCTTATGCGGATTGTATTCTACAAGTCGATTCGGCCAAAAGCCTGCAATCAAGTGACTGGGAAGTATATGGGAGGCGGTAAGGAGTAGCGTCCAACAAATAAGCTCCATGTCCACTCTGGGAGAGTCTGGCAAGCTACCTGTGACTATACCCAGCCCCCACGTTCAGAGCCCAGCAAGCTATACATGGGTAACAAAAATGCTAAATGCAGTAAAAAAAAAAGAAGCGGGTTTCATTCCCCTGATCACGAAAAAGCCACAGTTTTCGCAGCGTTGGGTAGGATGAGTACAGAGAGGCCGCTAAAATCTCGGGGCCAATGGAAGCTGCCTGGATTTCAAAGAACTATAGTGACAATCTGCACCTACAATGCACGTACAGTTGCAACCGAGTCCTCGATAGAAGACTTGCTCGTGCAAGCAAGAAGGATAAGGAAGACAATCCATGGTAACTCGCAATTCCAGAAGCCCCACCCTCAGCGCTGGACGTGGGATTTTCTCAATGGAGAGTGCCATAACGAAATAGACCACATCACAATAAATAGAAGGTTTTGCCTAACCG